TATCTTAGATGTGGCACAAGGCCAAATGTATGAGCACTCAGTGAAGATCGATCTCGCTACTCAGCTTGTTAGCCATTACTACACGTCAGATTGCCCAATGATTTTCTAAGCGTATCTTAGATGTGGCACAAGGCCAAAGATATGGGCACTCAGGCGTGAGATCGAACTCAATACTCAGTCGTAATTGTTCTAATGAGACAAGCTTGTAAGCTAATATTACACGTCAAATTGTCCAGTGATTTTCTAATCGTATCTTAGATGTGGCACAAGGCCAAATGTATGGGCACTCAGTGAAGATCGATCTTGCTACTCAGTCGTAATTGTTCGAACAAGACAAGATTGTTAGCCATTACTTCATGTCAAATTGCCAAGTGAATTTCTAAGTGTAACTTAGATGTGGAAACCAGCTTGCTAACCATTACACAACGTAGAAATATCTAGAAATTATATATAGACGGAAAATAAATTTAAATACACCAAAGTAGAATGGGCAGAAGACATATTTGTCTTGTCACTATACAGAATCTTTAAAGTTATCGTGCCAGGAATTGATTTCATATCTAGGTTTATTATTCTTGGACACAATCATGACATCATAAGATGTACAGATGGCACAGTGTTGATAGCAGACATAAAAAAAAAAACTTCTTTCAGGTTCTCTGAGACAAAATAGTAAAATAAAGTGAACAGAAAAACTCCCAGTCAATTGGAAGCATGCAGAATATGTGATGAGCAGGAAAAAGAACTGTCCAATATGGCAACTGCAAACTGAAGATGCTAAAATCAAGCATTTAATATATGTCGGAAGTGTTTGAACAGAGGATAAAGTAATGACACTGAATATAACAATATGGCATTACAATATGTATGCAATATTAATTGAGTAGTAAAATATTAATGATGCAATTATTTATATTAATATCGGTACAATATTACAATATTCAGTGCAGTCGTCGTCGACATCCGTCTGTCTCGAGATGCGATGAAGTATGCGCGGTACGCTACGAGCCTGGGCGGAATATATGGAGAACTAGGGCTGCCCGGACGTCTAGTTCCCCCTCTCGGCCTTTCTAGCAGAATCCAATGGAAAGGATAAAACAATACAGTTTGGTACCAGCGCGGCTACAGGAGTTGCCGGAAGGTAGCACAAAGTGCTGTCCATCCGCCTTAGGGGTTTGAATTCAGAATCGTCCTCCATTCAAGGCTAAAGAACCCAGTCTGTCCTGCTATTTACGCATAGCTGGACGGAGAAGAGGAGGATGCGCACATTTCCCAAGGGTATTAGCACGTAAGTGAATATAATGGATTCGACTGGAATTCGAACTCGGCTCTCCGATTCCTCAATCCAAGCCACTATCCATTATTGGATAATGTATATGACACCGAATATAACAATATGGCATTACAATATGCATGCAATATTAATAGAGTAGTAAAATATTAATGATGCAATTATTTATATTAATATTGGTACAATATTACAATATGAATGCAGTATATTAAATATATCATCTCTCAGTTGCCTCTCTGTCCTTGGACAGAGTTCGCTCAGGGGCTTCTCTGTCAAAGGACAGAGGGGCAACTGAGGAAAATTATACTGAAGAGGTGCCCAGCCCTGGGGAACAGCTGCCCGAGGCCGTGCCTTCCCATTGCACACGAGGGAGGGATCAGTGCTCGCACCAAGGCCAGCGCAACCGACGGTTGCAGGGGCTGAGGGGAATTTTTGTCCCTACCAGGGTGTACGCGCTCGGGTCCCCACATTAAACCGACCTTATGTCACATCTTGTTCTAGTGGGGGAACGAGTAAATTCCAGTATATTAAATATAATATTAAATATTAAAATAGCGAAAGTTTAGAATATTAAGATAAATAGGAAGAAAATTTCATTAAATAATTATAAACTTGCTGAACTCTGATGGGATATCAGTCCTCCTCTATTACAGTGAGTGTTGGAGAATCTTCTCATAGAGACATGACGCAAGGGATACTTACAATACTACGGCCGCAGTATGTGAGCAACGAGAACATGTTAAGGAAAACGGAAACGAATAAAAAAAAAACAAAAAACAAAAACAAAAAACAAAAAAAAACGCTTATACTTAGAGACAGAAAGAGTTTAATGATTGATTTGTTGTTTTCTTTTTTACGGTTTATCAACCTTTTAGTAGTTATTTAAAGTCGAAACATTTAAGAATTATTTGAAGATAATAATGATTTTCAGATACAAGTATTAATATTTAACCCATAGCTGAAAGGAGAGGAAGTGGATTCATACCTTTCTCAAGGTTATTTGCAAGTAAATGACTATAACGAACCTGACTGGAATTCGAAATCGTCTATACGATTTCTCATTCTGAGCCTTTAGCCATCACACCATCTGCACACCCATGCTTACAGCTCCTGTTTTTCCGTAACGGTCACCCATCTAAGTACTGATCAGCCTCAATGTTGCTTCAGTGATCGGACGAGAACCGGTGTTTCAACGTGATATGGCCACAGGCCAGAATCAGATGAAAGTTCTGCGACACAAAATGAATAAGCAGGGCTTATATTTTAAGGAAAATCGGAAGAAAAAGTACAAATATAATTAGGCTCATGAACAGAACGTTGAAACAACTCGGACACGTAATGAGGAAAGAGGGTTTGCAAAATTTGACACTCACAGGACTTGTTAAAAGAAAGAATGATAAAAATGAATGTTGCCAGTAGACAGATAAAGCCTTCCTTTCTTCATATTTTGATGTGCCGTGCTCCTGCATAATGTAGACGATCATGTTTCTCCACAACATTCAATTCTTCGTAGATCTAAGTAATTGATGTTCTGATTTGTGTGCCCAAGCTGTTTAGGTAGTCATTTGGCATTTCTTTCTGTCCAACTTACTTTCAATAAGTCCTGTGCGTGTCAAATTTTCCAAGACCTCTTTCCTCATTACGTGTTCAACGTTCTGTTCATGAGCCTAATTACATGTGTTCTTTTTCTTTCGATTTTCCTTAAAACGTAAACCCCGCTTACCTGTTTCATCTACCATATTCCCAACATTATCGTGGAGAACAACATCGAGTCTTTCCTTTATATCTGAGAAGATTGTCTAGCATTCACTGGCATATTTTTTTTTAAATCCAAGCAAAGATTTACAACCAATGAGACGCATGGAACTATTAGGTGTGGAAGAATTAGACAAATACAGAAACACCAGAAAGGAGCGGGTATAGAAGAAGAATAATTAGGAGGACAGTAGATAACGATTGATATTACATTTTAATTTTTAAAGATTAAATTTGGCTGGAAATCATGGAGACGTAAAGGAGTTCCACAAGCGAGAAGTGCAACAAAAGAAACTGTTAGGTTAAAACTTAGGTTACATTTAATCAGCTCAAAAGTATATATCAGAAACCACGTCGCCAATCTAAAATTGCGCTTATATTAAAAACTAGCAGGGCTTTGCTAACTCGCTGTCTGGTAAATTTTCTAAGAAAAATTAGTTGTTTTCCTATCCGATTAATGTTCACTATTTATGAAAGGTCGAAGGGGTTGTGGATGTTCAATATATTCATTCAAAGAATATGACTGTAAAGACAGATGGAATTAACTGGTCTGATGCGGGGTTAGACTTGTTATAGTTAAGGAAAGTTTTACAGATAGATTCCGACTTGTTGAAGGCCAAGTAAAATGTAAGTTTCAAAAGCTTTTTTAAACTATATAAGACAGCATTTTTGATATGAAAATCAAAACAATCCTTGAATGAAAAGAATAGCAATGAAGGACAGTTAATAAATGTAACATACCTTTTTAAAAGCATTATGCAAATTAGTTAAACCTGAAAAGTGATATCGCCTCGATGTAGATTATATATAACTCAGATACTGAGCTTTTAGCGCGTAAAGAATATGTATGCATTATTTATCATCTCTCAGTTGCGTCTCTGTCAAAGGACAGAGTGCGCTCTTGGGCTTCTCTGTCAAAGGACAGAGGGGCACTGAGAAAATTATACTGAAGAGGTGCCCATCCCTGGGGAACAGCTGCCCGAGGAAGCGCCCTCCCATTGCACCAGAGGGAGGGATCGGTACTCCCACCGAGGCAAGCCCAACCGACAGTTGCAGGGGACTGTGGGGAATTTTTGCCCGAGTGTACGCGTACGAGTCCCCGCATAAATCCGACCTTGTGTCACATCTCATACTCATAGGGAAATGAGTAAACACCGCGTAAAGAATATGTATGCATTATTTAAAATGACCTTGTGTCACATCTCGTTCTGGTGGGGGAACGAGTAAACACCGCGTAAATTCCTATAAAATAGCGTTGGGACCATTTAACCTCAGAATTCCTGGGAGAATTGAACTCCAATTTCGCATTTATTCATACAGAAGTCTAGATACCATAGGGAAGAGGTTATTTGGACAATTGAATGAAAATATTTATAGAAAAGGCACAGGGTGGGGGGGCAACCTTACGGCAGTGGAAAGATGAGTGAAGCTGAGACACGAGATCAGGACCTATGATTTGAATTTTATCAAAGGTCTCTCGATATAGTGCAGAAGCTCTGAACCCTATTTAGCAGCGATATTCGAAGCATAGACGAAGGTAAGATAGTTTTGGGGGAGAGGAAATGTCGAGCACAACGTACAGTGCTGTTCGATAAAAGTAACTCACCTTACTTTTTTTTTTCTTCTTGTTTTTTGGGGTCAAAATAATTTTTAATCTTACTAATATAAAGACCACTTCCCGACCACCTAGTAAAAAAGGTTACGCCCCCTAAGGTATTCTATTGACAATTATAATTTTGAATATAAATGAGTAATCAATAGAAACATAACCGAACAGCTTTAAATAAAGAACAATAGAGGTATAATTTATTTATAATAGGTAATATAGTTCGAAATATTTAATAATCTATGGGTCCTCCTTTATTTTGAATAACCTTTTTAACCCTTTTTGGTATTCACGTGATTAGGTTCTGGCAAATCTCATTTCCAAGCATTGAATTCCACTTGGATATGAAATTCACAATCAAATCCTCTTTGTTGCTCAACTGCTTCCTCGAGAGCCTGTACTTTATAATGCTCCATAAGTGTTCTATGGGGTTGAGGTCAGGAGATTGGAGCAGCTATGTCATAAAACTCATCTGCTTCTCATCAAAGTATTCCTTAATCAATTCTGATTTGTGACGGAGCATTATCCTGCATAAAAAAATGAGCTTGGTGGGGGTCGATTTACACCCTTTCAGCAGAAGGGAGCAGACAAGTCTAAAATTCTCTTGTACTGCTCGCTCCTGAAAACCTTTTCAATAGGTTTTAAAAAACAGTTCCATGAAAAGAAAAGCATCCCCAGAATAGTATACTGAAAAGATTCTTGACATACTTACTGCTAAAATCAAAGAGCTTTCTAAGCTTCTTCTTCGGATTTTAGATCGCTTATCCTTTGAATTTAGCTCAACTTTCGTTTCTCGGAGAAGAGAACATTTAGTAAAAAAAAAAAAAATCTGGTGAGTCACTTTTATCGAACAACACTGTATTGAACCAACTTTCCTATCCATGGATTCAATATAGTCTTCCCACTTCATGTCAGGCGAGAAGGCGCAATGTGTCATTCACCTGGAGGTTAGCATCTGCCACGGTGATGGAAGGCTGGACGGGGATCTCGCAGATGATTAATAGAGATCATCATAATTTTGAGGATGTTTATTTTAACAAGTTATCCTTTTAGCTAGTTAACAACAGACCGAAGATCATTTTTACATCACCCTCTAATATGCCTTTGCATTGTTTCTAACTAAATTTCATCTGTTCCTTATTATTTTGTTTTGATTTCGGGAGCCAGCTATCGCTATTCCAACTGACGTTCGCATTTGCATGCGACATTTTTCAGAAATCTGTTGTAATACTCCAAAACTATGTAAAGTTCTGAAATGATATAATTCCACCATCTCTACTTTGTTAGTGATAACATGGTCTTGTAAAGGACCGGTGTGGAGGTTAAGATGAAAAGAAAACACGTGCGTTTATATTTCCTGCTAGAAGGTCCCGCTAAAATATGAAAATGTCGGACTCGGATTAAGTCCAACTGAAGATACGGAAGACAAACAAACAAACAAGATCGATATATATTAAAACAAATATGTGTATTAACAACAAATTACAAAGCACATAGACAGTTAACATTGTATTTGTGTGTGAACATGTGTGTGTGTGTGAACGATCGTATTTTGATGAATGTTATTTTGGAGAAGTTCGTAAGTGTTCGTATTGTGGTGAATGTTTGTAATGTTCATAGCGTTTTCCCAGAAATGGGAAACGCTGATCTTCTAAGAGCTTACATCTTGAAATGAAGAAGAAAGAGATTTACCTCACCTCCACGCGAGGTGGTATTCGGCACGAGGCCTAAAGGAAAGAAGAGATCGAGGCAAGAAGTCACCCAGTATTTATAGTATATAGAGAGAGACCCCTGGTAAAGAATTAATGAAGTAAGGAGGAGGTAACTCTGACAGTATAAGCTGTCCGATTAAGGTGAGTTAAGCCTTCAAATGACCCGAAGAAAATTGCAAAGTCCCATGAATTTTGCGATTTCATTCTTGAGTACAAATATGGTACAATTTGCTGCTTACAGGAATTTTAAAGAAGGACAAAATATATTTTATTTAATCATATCACCTCAAGCAAGACGATAAAGCCAGTAAGAGTCCGGGGGAGGGGTTAATGAGTATGAAAGACCACAGAGAGAAAGAAAAATGAGGAGAAAGGACAATACAAATAGCAAGATTTACTGAGAAAAAAGATAGCGATATGCCTTACCTTTTAATTATTTATATCGTAGTTGACAGAAAAGCAAGAGGCATGAAAAGATTTCCATAAGTAAGATGTGCGTGAGATAAAGCTATACGAATAGAAGTTAGGGTTACATTAAATAGTTTCGGTAGTAAAATAATAATAATTATAAGGTGTCGGAGAACTTTGAGAGGGGGATTAACAGGAGACAACTGACATCCATTAGACATGGCACGTGGAACTAGAATGGTCTACCTCAGTGAGCGAAATAAAAGGTTCAGTTCGACATTCCAACCACCTGAAGAAGGCCGGAGCGCACAACGGCCGAAAAGTTGTGATAAACATGTCGACAAAGATGAGGACAATAGTCCGAATAATGTAAATAGAGTAAAATAATGAATCCTCGCCGACAGTCTAGTGATACTTATTCCTTGGCAATAAAGATTAAAGCGTGTATCTTTATTTAATCCTAAGACTAAGCCTACGTTATCTGTCCTCCTTATCTTCATAATCTTCATTTTCAACGTCCTGCATTTTTATTCATATCACATATGTTATTATTCATAACGATTTTAACAGTAGCCTTCTAACTTTCGTGGTTACTTAGCCTAGGATGAATTATTATATGAATAAAACCTGCAAGAAGGCTAGAGTGTATTTAATTTTTATATTATCTGCGAATAGTAAATTGATGGCCGTCTTCAGCCGACTCGGCCAATGTAACAAGTGTTAATCGA